CCAGCCGCTCCTTTCTTCCCTCTAATTCCGTGTCCCTGGCCAAAATTGATCCGCCTCCTTTAGTAAAGGGCTCGGCCCAAGTAATTAATCCCCATCCAGCTGGGCCTTGAGCCCAGTTTCGAGAATTGTTTCCCTGTGCAACTTCTTTTTCGTGTTTTCTTCACCTGTAATACATCAAACTCATGGCACTAGGCAGTAATGGTTTTTCAACCATTCTCGGGTTAGCGAGCCCTAAAATAGCACCAATTGGCTAAAACATACCACGGGATAGTCACATAAAGTTCAAGAATCCGATATATTAAAGCCTATTATCACAACCCCACACTCAATTGTTGCTTGTCCCTAAGCAACGACTCAAAAGACACAAACACATAACCATCCAAAACAATGACACATTACAGACTCAACACTCAAACACTCAAAACAAAACACAAAATTTTCCTTGTACTCTTGTTGTAATCAGTAGTTTCTTTCTCAACGGACAAGTTGTGCTTTAATGGTCATACCTTTCACCCCACACTCAAGTTCTTTGCAACCCTTGTCATTGACTGACTCAAATTCATCCAAAAACTCAAATAGCAACACTCAATTTCGATCGTCAGTAGTGGGTGGTTAACAACTTATGGTGCAACAATTATTAGGAGAATCTAACCACATCAGTGAGGTGCATATCCCGTGAGGACAATCTGGCTTACTTACACCAATCATCAGCAATTAACAAAGCATGAGTCTCAAAAACTAATGGGGGATGCCTTTCGCAAACATGATTTTAACTTTTAGCACATCACTACCTTTTATGACAAGGAGAGGCTTTCTCTCTTTCTGCTTTTGCTTGCCGAGAGGTCGTATTTAGTACAAGGGGGATTTGTTTCTTACTACCGGTGACCGAGCAAGAGCAATTTCTGCTTCTTAGCACTCGCATAAGGGCTTCTTTTAACTCCTTTTCCTCGGTCCGTGTGGAGGGTCATTGCATCCTCAAATGGCACTTCACTCAACTGGGGATCGTACTTGATAAGCAACATCGTACGGTCGCGAACTGATTCTCAATTGAATCTTTCCTCATCCCCATGTGCAATGAGTGATTGCCTCACACGATTTTGACATTTTACCCACACTTTAATTGTTATGGCGACTTTCTTATATTTTACTTGTCAGGTAGTGTTTTCTTTTATGAAGATACAGTTCACCCCATCATAAAACATTCAAAACAAAGAGACTCGTTGCCAAATCAAAAGCTCACAATTGATGCAAGTAAGCACGGTATCCAAACATGTCGAGTGGTCAATGTTCTCCACCTAACTACTTCACCAAAAGTCATTACACTATCCTCACAAAAGAGACTGTTGCTAAAAGAGTTTGCTCATTCAAAGCATAACGAGTCAGTCAAAACATTTAAGCTCATTGTGAAGAACTTTGCAATTCAACACTAGTGGGGTGATTTCGATGATTTCATTCAAGCACAAACTCATTTCACACGCATCACAGTCATTTACATCATGTTACCACAAGAGTACAAGGTTTTGTTTTTAATTTTCTGATTTTTTGGTGTTTTTTAGCCATTAGCTTTGCACAGGCAGCTTGCTTTTTACACAGGCAAACTGCATGCAGTTTGGCTGTGCTCAACCTAATGGCAATTTTTTTTTGGTTTTTTTTTACCACATGCAATAGGGACAAACAAACACTAAGATTCACCACCCCACACTCAGGATGGAACATTGTCCCTAATGTTCAACTCCTAATCTAAACATGCACGGGTTTGACTCAACTAAAAAGAAAAATAAAGAAAAGAAAACTTACCTTGGGTTGCCTCCCAAGAAGCGCTTGTTTAACGTCCTCAGCCTGACGTTTATGGAGCTTTCAACCAATGGGTATGGAAAGGTATCCAGAATACCCTCCCGAGCAATGATAGAATGCATAACGTCCATCCAACATATGAGTCACCTCTGCAGGGCCAGGTGTGCGAAAATTGGGTATGACCTTCTTAGTTTGCATGTTGGACCCCTTAGTGAGGCGTAGGTGGTACTGCAGCGCCTCAAGCAAGTACTCTTCCTGTTTCAATGTCAGTGAAGAAGGAATAATAACAGGAAGATTGAAATTCTTACCCAAATATCTATACTTGAGGTGACCTGGCAAGGATTTCTGCCCTTGCTTTGATTTCAAAATCTGAGCAGATAGGATAAGTGATAGTTCTTCTGGTGGTCTACAATCACAAGAGGAGGAATTTTTCCTTTCTTGACTTCCACTTTAAAAGTCATCAAATGCATCGTGATTATGATCAACTTGAAAGACATTAAAAATTTCCTCCTCCTTACCTACTCGGAATGTCAGCTTGCCTCTCCCAACATCGATGAGTGCATCACCGGTTGCTAGAAAAGGTCTCCCAAGAATGAGAGGCACTCCCCGATCTTCTTCCATCTCCAGAATCACAAAATCTGTAGGGAGAATAAACTTCCCCACCTTCTCCCAATCCCAATTTCTTGTAGACTGAGTATGGCATCAAATTAATTCCTGCTCCAAGATCACAAAGTGATTTATCGAACTCTGTACCTCCAATGACACATGAAATGGAGAAACTTCTTGGATCATCCCTCTTTTCTGGTAATTTATTCTGAATCACAGCACTACATTCAGAAGTAAGGGTTACCTTCTCTAGATCAGCCCACTTGCGCTTCTTTGTCAGCAACTCCCTTAAGAATTTAGAATATGTAGGCATCTGTTCCAGTGCCTCTGCCAGTGGTATGTTGATATGAAGTTGCTTGAAGATATTCACAAAATTCTTGAAGTTTGGGCCTTCCATGGGCTTCATTAACCTTTGAGGGAATGGTGCGGGAGGTTCATAAGGCTTTACCTCTTCGTTCTTCAATTTTTCCACTTTTTGAGGTACACGGGCAGATTACTTTTGCACAGGCAGATTGCATGCAGTTGACTGTGCAAGTCAGATTTTTCAGCTTTTGCACTTTCTTCATCCTCTACCTCTACAACTCCTTCTTTTTCAGATTTTGTTGACTTCCTTGAACTCTCTGGATCCTCCAAGGCATTTCCACTCCTCAATGTGACAGCGACAACCATGGCATCCTTCGGATTCCTCTCGGTATTTGCTGGTAAAGTCCCGGGAATCCTACCTTGAATATCTGCCAAAGTTTGAACCATCTGGCCTATTTGCCTCTCCATAGCTAGCATAGATGATTGCATTTTATTGTTGATGGCTAGCTGTTGAGTGACAAATTGATCAAGACCCTTGAAATTATTGTCTGTTTTCTGCATATGAGCCAAAATCAACTCCTCCAGTTGGGGCTTCTTCTCTGGTTGAGGCTGCTGCTTTTGAAAACCGGGAGGTGGGATGTTTCGAACACTAGCTGGATTATTGTTTGACCATGACATATTGGGGTGATGTCTCCATTGAGGGTTGTATGTATTTGAATACATACCACCCTGGCCTTGACTTCGCGGATTATTGATATAGTGCACATCTTCCAACTGATCAACTCCCAGTGGACCATATCCCTATGATGAGCACCATCGCAAAGTTCACATAAAGCAACCTCCTCTTGTCTACCAAGAGAAATCTTGGCCAATCTTCGTTCGAGTGCATCGAACTTAGAATCCAGTTTAGCATCTATCTTGGCTTCTAGACTCGCAACTCTGTTTATTTCATGCAAGCCTCCTCTTCTTCGAATACTGGTCTCACTACCCCATTCAGTGGCTTCTTAACAGATCTTCTCTACCAGATCATATGCTGCTGGTGCCTCCATGCTTGTGAAACCATTTCGAGAAGCATTATTTAGGGCATCCCGAAACTCCCTTCTGATTCCATTGAAGAAAATAATAATCACGTTCCAATCTTCAAGACCGTGGCTCGGGTTAGCGAGCCCTAAAATAGCAACAATTGGCTAAAACATACCACGGGATAGTCACATAAAGTTCAAGAATCCGATATATTAAAGCATATTATCACACCAAAAGGAAAAAAGTAGTCCCGTGTAGTCTATTCATAACATGTATTTAATATCTATGTTTTTAACATTATCATGATTTATCTGGTAGCCATAAAAATGAATTTTACCAAAACTCATTCAATCGATCGTGTAGTTTCAACAATTAATCAATCCAGTATAATCAAATATTGAGGAAACAGTTTGTTATACATTATAAAAATATATATTTCAAGTTATGCATTGTTTATAGTCGGTCTAAATTATCCAAACTATAACATATCAAATAAAACAAGATCAATCATTCTACTACCAAAAAAAAAAAAAGTAGCCTTGTTTATTCTATTCATAACATGTGTTTAACACTATGTTTTTAGCATTATCATGATTTATCACGTAGCTATAAAAATAAATTTTAAACAAACTCATTCAATCAATCGTGTAGTCTCGACAATTAAAAAACCAATATAATCAAGTATTGAGGAAACAACTTGTTATATCTTATATGCATAAAATTTACTCCATAACTATGAAATTCAAATTTATATGAAAATTATTAAAGAATTAACGAACCTGCACGGACAAGAAAACGACTTGTAGAACCATGAATGCTCACGAACATATTCTAGTAGTCAAATTCTTTGGTTGGTAAACTCTCTCCAAGTGCACTTTCATTAGCTCCCTTTTCTGACTCTCTTCTCCATTCCAATGAATTCATTCACAAATCACAAACTCAAAAAACCTCCCGCCTTTTTCACCTTCTTTATAATTTGTTTTAGTTTGTTCCAATATGTTGTCACTATGTTTGTTCCCCTATTTTTGTTTCATACCTCTCCTCGGGTTAATTTGGCTCACAAGAATAGGAAATATGGGGATATCTTTTGTAAAAAAAAAAGCAGATTGTGCTAGTCTAAATAAAACCTAATTTTGTTTTTCCTTCGACAGAAATTCGTGCGGCTTTGTTTCGCTTTTGCTCATTGGTTAGGATTTTGTTTCTAAAATAGAGTGTGGGTTGTATTGTTTCAGATTTTGTGATGTTGATTGAGTTTCTCAAAAATCTTCCCCACCCTCGAAAATTTTGGTTTCCAAATGATTCATGCTAGTAGTGAATGATTCTTGTAACTCCTTTTTTCAAGTTCCTTGATATGAAGAAAAAATTACACAAGGGACAAAAGAGAGAGAGTTCGGATGGCGTCGTCCCAGGTTGAGATGGTTGCATCATCTTCTCCATTTGGCTATGTTCTTCGGGATAGGAATCGTCCCAATCGATGCAATAGGGAAACAAGCAACACCAATTCCTCTAGAGTCGCTGCTTTTCAGAACAACCTCCAAGTTTTGGTTAGAGACCATCTCCATACTTGCATCTCTATACCTCCTGATAAGAATTCCTTAGCACAACCAAACAATGAAAGCTTGGATTCCATCACCATTTCTAGCAGCAAGCGTAATAGCCCCCCAAAAAATGAAACAATGAATAATTTTTCTTCTTCGTGTTCTTCTACCCGCATGAGTAGCCGACAAGCAAGAAACTTGGACCGCTGGGCGGCAAAGCAAGCAGAGCATATGGTATCGACGATAGAGAGGCAGAATAAGGAGTCAGAGCTTTGGGTTGTGGCATCAAGCAATCCATGCTCTTCTTCAAATTCAAAAGAGGTCGGCAATTGTGTAATATCTTCCCAAAATTCAATAGCCGAGAGCGAGTGTTCCTCCAAGAGCCAGATTGGGGCTTCTTCCCTGGTACAAATATGGGAGGCACGACTAAATCAACCAAAACCTAATCCTCAAATGTCGCAACACAGCAGAACAAGTTCTGTTTCTAGTTTAGACAATTTCAATCTTATGGAAGAGCCTTCCAGGCATTCTGATGTTTGTGACTCTATTTCTAACAACGATTGGCTCACCGATTGGGACTCAACTGGTCAGACCATGACTTCATCCGTAAACTATCGTCATTCTGACGTTGGTTCTGACAAGGAAAAGGTTAGGATTGCAGATATTATCAAACGACTAACATGTGATGTCCATGATCATCATGATCCTGGGAATGGTGGCAGTTGTGATACGCCAAGACGGACTTCCATCAGTTCAGAACCTAGCTTTGAGCATAAAGGAGGATGGTCTCTTGTGGTGAGCTCTCCTAGAATTCGAGGTCGCCAAGCATTTCATGATTTGCTCCTCCATATTGAGCATGACCGCCATAAAGAGCTTGGTTCCCTAGCTGAGCGTCAGGCTGTCTCCAAATTTTGTTATCGTGGCCGCATTCAGGTGAATCCTCAAAATTGTAATTTGAAAATATATTTACAATTAATATGTATTTATGTACTATTTCATATCATTTTAAGTTCAATGAGATATATAAACCATATTTAGTAGCCTTTCTACACATGTTACAAATGCAAAATTTTCTAATGCAATGCATAGTATTTATGTTACTATGAATCACTGCAGTCTCTATTAAAGTTGAGATTTCTCAGGCGTGACATAGGGGTTCAAACTCGACTAGTACCGGTACCACCATCTTGTAAACCGCCGCAACATAGCTCTAGCATTATGCAACTCAGGTAAGTTAAAAATTTCCTAATCTTAATGAGGTTTTTCTTGAGAAGTTGCGGGGATAACTAATGAGAGATATTTGGTGTTGCAATAAAAAAGGGAGAGATTAAAGGCATCAATGGAGCAAGCAAAAATTCGGGACAAAGAAGTAGTTGTGCAAAGAATGTCACCCAAGCCAGAGAAACATTGCAAACAAATAGACACTTCTTTGACCCAACTTCAACCTATTTGTGAGAGTCAATCCCAAGAAAGGGCCACTTGTATAGACATGACGAGTACAATGATTTCAGAAGAGCATAAAGAGCAACAAGAGAAGAAGCTAGAGGAGTCAGTAGAGCATAATGAACTACCAATAGAGAAATCTGTTTGCCAAAAGAGTACGCCTTCGTTTAATAATAGGAATACAAAACATGAAGCCATACTTGTGGCGGAGAATCATGTCATTGAGAAGTCTCACCTTCTTGAAGGTAACCCTAAAGAGGAAGAAAGTATATTGCCACTGGAGAACACAAAATCACAACAAAGCAAAGAATTGCTCGATGTTCCCATTTTTGAGAATATTGCAATTCATAGTGCAGTAGAAGCATGGAAAGAAAGAAACTTAGAGTGTGTTATGGAGGTAGAAGAAATGAAGAACTCAAAATTACAACAAACAAGAGAATTGCTTGATATCCCCATTCTAGCTGATAGTGCAATTCATAGCTCGGTAGAAGCATGGAAAGAAAGAAACCTAGGATGTGAAATGGAGGAAGAACAAGAGGAAGGAGCAGGTGATGATGATCAACAAGAATATTTTGAGGAAGCTCCGTATGATTGGTTTAGTGACATAGCTAGGCCACGTAGCTATTGGGAAGACATGAGGCGCTCCTGGTATGACGAAATGCTAAGCCCTGGTTGTGAAAACAGAGACATAAAGGAACTCCTCGAGAGGTACGAATAAACTTTCACCTTATGAAAAGAATCATATAAATTTTCTCTTGTCTTTAACAAATTTTGGAAAAAAAATACAGGAAAACTGTGTCGGGTTTTCTTTCAAGCGGATTTCGAGAAAGGATTGATCGGTTGATGTTGTCTCGAGCTCGGATTCAAGCTACTCAAAATGAATTAGAGGCTGATGATAACCAAGAGAAGATGGCACAAGTTGCATTTTCATACTTTCGCAAGGAGATTAATGAAGGAGAAGAGAACGGGGTTCAAGAAGAGCAACACGAACAAGCTAAAAACATTGGAGAAAAAGAAGAAATTGATGAAGAGACGAAAGAAGAGGAATCAGAAGATGAAGAAGAATATATGGATCAAGAAGAACATCAGCAAGAGAGCTCAACAAGTCGAAAGTTTGTTGAAGCCAACGATCTTTTTGACCAGTCCTCTCAATCAATCTTCTCAAACTCTCCAAACAGGTTATGGAATTACGCTACAAGGAAAGAGATGGATGAGTATGATCAATTCTCAAATTCAGCTTCCCAACTACCTAGTCAACCATTCTCGAAGAACACTCAGGATAGAAGAAGATGTTCATGCTCTAAAAGTCGTGCATCCATTGTAAGTAGTATGTGTTCACTTATTATATTTTTGTATATCGATAGAGAGCTTTGACAATACTGATATGTCATTTTTGTATAGGATGTGGATGTGGTGAATGAACTAAGAGGAAGCATGGAACAATTAAGGACTGAAGTGGCAGACCTTCGAAAGATAATCGAGAGTTGCATGGAAATGCAAATGAATCTCATGAGGTTCATAAAGCATGGGGTTCAACCAGGTTATGGCAGTATAGAGACGAACTCTGCAAACTTGCAACAAGAATGAGTGAGGGCTTTGTGGCATAAAATCATGAAGGTAACCATGAATGTAAATGATCTATTGACTGCAACATATATGGATTACGAAAAGGGTTCCCCAAGGAGAAGCAATGGGACATGGTAGTGTTGGACATTGAGGAAGCGCACTTCCTTTGTGGGGTTATGGTGAGACGGAAGTGGATTCCACTTTTGTACAGAGAAAAGATATTGCTCTGGATTCCTTGAGTTGGAAATTACAAACCGGATGTACATAAATGTTTACAAACCGGATTCCTTGAGTTGAAAATTGCAACAAGAATGAGCGAGGGCTTTGTAGCACTAGGAAGTGCACGATTTATTGAGCTCTAATTTTGGGTGAAGTGAAAGCAAACTTAGACTCCTAACAGGAATCAAAGAAGAGGAAAAGGAACTCAGAAAGTAGCATATCATATAGACCTGCTCATAAAGTGAAAGAGTTCTTGCTCCAGAGGACCTCTCAATTGTATTACTGTTTTACTCCCTCATGATTGGTATCTCTTCATGTAGGGAAACTAAAAAGAAAATAAAGTTGAAAGGAGAAAAATAAAAATTAGAAAGATCATATTATTTATGGTCGCCCTTTTTATGAGTTTCATATGCTCTATAAATGTTTGGATATATGTGGATCTTGAATTTATGATGAAACACAACGTTGCATGAAAAAAGTTATTTTACGCATCAATATATAATATAATGAAGAATTGATTGGATCGTATATGATCCTTAAGCCTTATTATTTAAGGAGATTCTTAAGTCATTACTATTGGCTGATAGTGGATTAGTTAGTTGATAGAGAGTTAGTAATTAATGGGTAGTTGAGGGTATATGGGGTATTATATATGAGGGACGGGATACGGTGACAACCCCTAAGGGGTTGTCAGATTGACAACGAAGGGTATTTTGGGTATGAAAAAAGGAATATATTAATTACCTTTTTGTATTAATTATATTGGGAATTAAAAACCCATATTGAATACAATTTTTTTGAAATTTAAATCCTATACATTAATATCTATATCTATCTATCTCTCTTCCTTTCTCCAGCGGCCACTCCGCATCGACGGACAAACTTTTTCTCCGGCGAATTCTCTCCGGCAGACTCCCTCCGGCAACCTGAAAAAATGTACCAATGCGTTAAAAAGTGTATCAATCCATTAGTCTACTAGTAATTAATATACCAGTGCTAGTGGTACGCTACCAGTGCGTTAAAAAAATGTACCAGTGCTAGTGGTACGCTACCAGTACAGCGCTACCACTACCAGATTATATCCTACCACTAGCACTGGTAGCGCCCAGTGCTAGTGGTACGCTACCAATGCTAATGATAGCGTACCACTACCACTGGTAGCGTACCACTAGCATTGGTAGCGGTACCAGTAGAGAATAACACAAAAAACCGATGGTAGTGGTACCAGATGATAGTGGTACGCTACCACTACCAGCTACTTGATGGTAGTGGTAGGTACCACTATCATTGGTACGCTACCAGAAGAAAAATGGTACCACTAAAAAACCGGATCTAGAAAAGGGGAGTCAGTTACGGGAGAGAGAGAGGTAGGGGAAGAGGGTGACCTCGCGACGGCGACAGTGGTGGGAGACGAAGGGCGGTGAGAGGGCTCGGACGGGGAGAGGATGATTGTGTCGCGGTGGTCGGAGGGGACATTGTGATGGCATGGGGTGGAGGGAAACTGAGGATTGCGGAGACGACGGCGGTAGAGGGCTGCTGCGGGAGACAGGGGTGGCGGCACCGACAGTGGAGGGTTGCTGCGATGGAGGACGCGGCAGCGGTGGAGGGTTACGACGGTGGAGGACTGCTGCGGTGGAGGATGGCTGCGTGAGAGAGGGAGGAGGGGGTGAGAGGAGTTAGGGTTTTGTTTTTAATTTATATGGGAGGGTAAATGATTGTGTGTGGTAAATCTTTTCCAATCCAAAAATACCTTTCATTTAATCTTAACCATCAATTTGAAAAAAAGAATAAAGAGACAGGAGAGAGGGCGTATCCAATGGTGAGGAGGTGAGTTGTCAAACTCACAACCCCCTAAGGGGGTTGTCACCGTATCCCATCCCTATATATGATTAATATTACTAATTAATGATTCTCTTTCTCTTTCCTCGTGTGATCTTATACGAAATCCTTTCTCTGCACTACAATTAAAATAAAACCCGAAATTAATTTAATTAAATAATATTATTTAATATATAATAAAAATTTTAATTAATATTTTTCCTTTTTGAATACAAATTAAAAATATCTTCTCTCACTTCATGGCAACTTGCAATAAAGTATTAACGTTTTGCAATAACATTGTTTATGAAATGAATCATTAATACTATGTCTCATCATTATTAATGATTTCAATACTATATCTCATCATTATTAATGATTTCAATTTATTTATCAATTCTTTACAATTACATTATTACCAATTTTGGATCAATTGTTACCATTTTATATTTTCGTCATCAAACGCTTATGAATGAATCATTGAAAAACAAAACGGTACAACAAAAGTCAATCTTACATCCTACCCTATCTCAAACAAAACGAAATAAGAAATATAATAAAAAAGATTGAGAAATTACGAGAGGGAAGAGATGATGAAGCAAAAAACAAAGCTCATATGGTGTTGTACCGAATCAGCCTACAAGTGTTTGATGAAGAGAGTCAGTGAGCGTAATCAGCAACCTAAACACAATGAAATAGGAAGAGGAAGAGGAAGAAAAAAACTCTGTTGGGGTGTTACCTTGCGAGAGTAAGAGTCTGCGAGGGCTGCTTCTTGATTGAATCCCCAAACAGCACGATTTGTGGCCTCATTTTGTCCAGCATGCTCTCTTTTGTTCTGGTTGGGGTAGTTGTAGCAAACAGACGTTAGTGCGTGCTCCATCTCAAACAGAATGAAACAAGAAAAGCCAATCAGAGCGGCATAAGTTGAGTAGAGGAGCTACAGAAGGTAGCGGCAAGAGCGATTCGGCTGGAAGAAAGGAATGAGGCGTGAGTAAATAGGTCAATAGACTAAATAGTTTAATAGGATTAATTAGGATAGTCTTTAAATTAGTTACATAATTCCTTAAATATCCTTAACAACTACTTAACATATAGCTCTCTAATAACTTTCAGAATATAGTTTATATCTCAAATAATGGGATAGAAAGAATTAATTTATAACTTTTAGAATTAATTTCTGGCTTTCAAAGTATCAGTGGCGCAAACTTCATCCTCATCGGAAAAGTTTCATCCGTTGGAATTTTATGAGCATTTACTCGTCGGATTGAAAGACGGCCATTCTTTAGGGCTGTAGTTAAAAACGTCATTAATTAATAATTAATTCCGATTTCTTTTGTGTTTAGTCAACAATTAACTTTATGAGCCATTAGCTCAATTTATTAGAATTGAAGACATTTTCTTCAATTCATTTTAATTTGAGGCCCATCGGCAATAGAATGTGAATTCTAAAACTCAATTTTTGGTTTCTTGTCAAATGGTATGACAAATTTTTTTTTGTTAGAAAATTAATTAGGGTTAATAAATCACGACAAAGTTGAAGAGTCGGTGATTAGCGGATATGACTTTCCACTAAGAATGGTTTGTATTATTTTAAATTGTATATGTATTTTGTTAAACGACATTGCAAACTATGGCTCCTCAATTTCATGAAGTAAATTGCTTTCTCAAATATCTAGATTGTTGGGAAAATCAAGAGATTATTGAACATTTGTTCTTTCATTGCCCTCTTGTCATCATGCTATGGACTTTTAGTGGGATTAAGTGATTTGCTTGCTTCCGCCCAAACTTTGAACTTTAGTATATGGTGGCGACAATGTTATGTTTTTAGTAAACTTCCAAACCCACATTCTCCCATGCGTTTGCCTTTTTTTGGAGAATCTGGAAATCTCTTAACAAAGTGGTTTTTGAATATACTCAGCCACACGTCCGTTCTCTTGCCCGTCAATTCCATTTCCAAGTCATTGAATTTTTCTTAGCTTTTCATCCCCCAGGACCTCTCTCTCAGTCTTGTGCCGTCTCATCCTTCCGTTGCATCGCCCGCCTCCAGACTTTGTGAAGATCAACTTTGATGCTGCTGTTTGTCGTTCCGGTTGCTCGTCTGGCCTCGTCATACTTGGGACAAATAGGCAAGTTCTACTGGCCTGGGATCTCAGCACCAAGGAGTTTTCGATCCCTATCTAGCAAAGCACCTTGCTGCTAGGTGATCCTGAAGTGGTGATTCGGCATCTGGACCGTAGAACAGTGGAAGATTCGATAAGCGGCTCACTGCTCCAAGAGTGTCATCGGATCCTAGTTTCATGCTCTCTTTGTATAGTTTTTAGTGTGTTTCTGCGGACTGCCAACTGAGTTGCCCATAGAGTGGCACCTAAAGCTCTGTTGTTGTCCTCTTTAGAGGTAGCGTCCTTTGATTCTGTAGGGTGGTTTCACTAAGTGTTGCTTTGGGTGGGGTTTTGGGAGAGGTTTCTAAATATTTTTTCTCTTGTCATTACTTGGGGAAAAAAAAGCTCTCTAATAACTACCCAAAACTCCAGCAAAAGAAGGCTTTAAGATTCTCCTTAAAAAATAAGGTTTAAGGACTAAAAATCTAGAACTCAAGCCATAATGGATACTCCTTTTAGATAATAAATCGCAAAAGCCAAAAAGTATCATGAAGAGTTAAATAATGTAATTATAAGTTTAGGGTTCAACTAATATAAATTAAGTTCTTCGCCTAGCTTGCTCATATTTCCCGATTAGAAACTAATCGTAAGCCACACTGCAAGAGTTGGAGGAAACTGTCTCATTCAACAATGATTGTGTTTGTGAGAAATTGAATTTGGACCAGCCACAAGATATCAACAAGGTGGTCCATCATTTTTTTGTCTAGCAATACCATTAGTTGGATAATTTTAACCAAACAAAAAAATAATATTACATAAAAATATTGGCTAATTGATTCGACCGGTTAGCATGGTCTATAAGCATAATACCCAGCATAAATCATATTTGTTAAGAATTATGACAAGATGAAACCAATTAACCAAACCAAAATTTAAATCGACATATGTACTTGACTATTGGAAGCTGCTTTGTCATCTCTCATGTCATTTCATGTTGAAACAACAATGTAATTTCCATGTACAGTTAGCTTGTGGTAGTCACTAGCCAGCTAGAACTAGTGTTGACTACTTATTTTAGACCTCGTTTAATTCTTACTGCACAACCTATTAGTATATGAATGCATATTTGATGGAATGTCACAATTCTTATTTTTAGCGTTTAATCTGAATTTTTTTAACCAAAGTAGCTAGTTTTGTACTTGGAATTTTGACCAAGTTAGCTTACTCAAGGGATGTTGGGGTAGATGTTAGTGATATTGGACTGCCTGCCTTTCCCAAGTTGAGATATTTTTTTGACGATCAAAGGCGCTGAAACCAGCTGCCTTCTGCACTTATTGCTCAACTCAGCTTCTAGATTACAATCTCTCGTCATTGGGTTGGTGAGTTTCATTAATCTACGGACCTACATGTGTTATGTGTATAAGTAGAGATGGCAACTTTGCCCATACCCATGTGTTTCTTACTATCCAATCCAATTGGCTTTGGTATGAAATCCAAATAGATGGATATGGGTAGAGTTTGATGGGTTTGTACCCATACCCA